CACCGGCATCCGCGCGTCTGCCTGCATCCCCCAAGCCAATCAGTAGGGAAATATTAGGTATCCATCAGCGTAGCCAGCCTCTGTCTGTCTGTCTGTCTGCCACCCACCGACCCATCCACCCACCCACCCATCCACCCACCCATCTATGCATCCACCCATCCATCCACCCACCCATCCACCTACCGCCCATCTACCTCTTCGTCTGCCTACCTCATCTATCTACCGTATCTATTCATCCGTCTACCCATTCAGCTCCCCCCCATGCATCCGTCTGTCCGTCCACCCACTCTTGGCTTTGGGTTATGGGTTGGGGTCTACACGGAGGCATCTCTGCGAGCAGACCCTGCTCATCCGGGCACTCAACGTGCTGCGTGGAGAGCGCCGGCATGCTGGGGTCCCCTGTGGGACAGGTGGAGGTCGCGGGGCAGCCCACCATGGTCCGTCCAACCCCAACGTCCTCATCCAGCCCCATCCACCATCTCCATCCCCACCCAGTGTCTCTATCCAGCCCCAAGATCTCCATCCAGCCCCCCAGCATCTCCAGCTGACCCCAAACATCTCCAACATCTCCAGCTGACCCCAAACACCTCCAGCATCTCCAGCTGACCCCAAACATCTCCAACATCTCCAGCTGACCCCAAACACCTCCAGCATCTCCAGCTGACCCCAAACATCTCCAACATCTCCAGCTGACCCCAAACACCTCCAGCATCTCCAGCTGACCCCAAATATCTCCAGCTGACCCCAAACATCTCCAGCTGAGCCCAAACACCTCCAACATCTCTGTCTGACCCAAACATCTCCATGTGACCCCAAACACCTCCAGATGACCCCAAACATCTCCAGCATTTCTCCTTTCATTGTAAAAACCGGGAAATCAGCCTGTCTGGCATTTACTTTATTGCTGCTCCCCTGTGGAAACTCCACTCCAGCAAACCATGCTTCCTTCCCCCCACCATTTTCTGGGCAACCGGCCGTGGCTTCAGCCCGTTCCAAGCAGGACCGGCGCAACGCCAAAGCATTTTGCGCACCCCCCAGTCCTTCCATGCGAACGGTCTCACAAACAGGTTTTTCCCTACTCGCCAGGAGAAAACACCAAAGTTTTCCATTTAAATCCCCAATCTGGGCATGAGCATTTGGCAAGCTGCTTCTTGACGGGCTAATTGATCTTTCTGCTCATTAAGAAAAAGAAAAACAAAGAGAAAAAGAACCAAACAGGTTGAGCACAGCCTCACTGCCGTGTTGCTCACCTTTGCCTCCGATTTGCAACCCCAGGTGTTCACGTGGGTTCAAAATTATCACGTGGATCGAAGGGTTTTTTTGGCAGCTGCTGGAAAACTCGGTGAAAGGTGCCGGGCGTTGCCCTTTGCTCCATATGGTTTTGCAATTTTGGGGTCATCAGTTTATCAGGGTTGGTGTGACTGGACTCAAAGTGCCACCACGACGAGGGGACGTTGGCCTGGGGTGAGGTGGAGGGTCCTGGCGTGGACCCGTTGCCCGGCCATGCCCCACCAGCGAGGTCCTACCTTGGGGACACCCCAAAGGAGATTATCTGGGGGGTGAAGATGGTTCCCTCTCCCCAGTCTGGTGCCCCCACCCTGTCCCTGTCCCCATATTCACATCCCCGTGCCCTGCTCTGTGCCACCAGCCTGCAAGGGACATAGGGCTGGTTGGGGCTGCTAGTGGGGCTCCTGCCCCCCCTGCCCAGGGCCACCAACCCCCGAGCATCATGTCCCCATCATCCCCAATCGCTCACTGAGAATAAGGGCCACCACCACTGGGGACATGGGGCAGGACAAGTCTGGTCCTGCCTTGGGGGCAGTGGGACTGGGAGGCACTGGGAGAGCCCAGGCTGCGGCAGGGCTATGTCCCGGCCTCACAGCTGTAAAGCCACTTTCAGCTCCCCTTGGGGACGGAATGACATGAGATCACCTCCCCCTCCAGGTGGCACGGGTGTCATCGGTGGTCCCCGATGGGGTGTCACGTACAGGGTATTGCATGTGGCGGGACACACTTGGTGCCACAGATGGACCATGACGGGGTGTCACTCCCCCGGGACATCACATGTGCTCCCTCATGGGGTGTCTGTCACATGTACGACATCACATGTGGTCAGTGATGGGATGTCACATGTGGGATGGCACATACAATCCCCATGGGGTGTCACACATGGGACGTGGTCCCCAGTGGGGTTTCACACAGGAGGTGTCACACGCAGTCCCTCTGGGGGGATTACACAAGGTTCCCAAAAGGGTGTCACACATGGGACGTCACACAGGGTCCCCACTGGTGTGTCACACGTGGGACATCACCTACAGCCCCCACACGGGGTCACATCATACCTGGCGGTAGGGGGGTGCGTGTGGTGTGATACACTTGGGGCACGGAGTCCCCAGGAGAGTGTCCCCAAGTGGGGTGAGGACACAGAGCAGGGGGCCTCCCCCGCCAGTGTTGAGGGAAGGGAACGGGACACAGGGTGGTCGCAAAAACAAACGGGAGGAAAGGTCCCACCGAGATTTGAACTCGGATCGCTGGATTCAGAGTCCAGAGTGCTAACCATTACACCATGGGACCGGCC